GGTTTTTTTATTTAAGGTTAACATACGAGAAAAAGTATCTATTAGACTGAGGTGATGCTGTGATAGAGTTGATTTGATATTTGCCATTATCTTATTCCCTGCAAATATATGTGACAGCCACTCGTGCCTCTGTGTCTATTCGTTAGCTGGCCCTCCTCAGCATCGTGAACCGTAATCACGGTCAAAATCTAACACTCCTTCTCCGACGTCGTACTCTCGGTAGCTCTCACCATGTCAACTTGGAGGGCTCTCACAATTCCGCTATTCTTGGCGCCGGCATCGCCTTTGTGAGAAGATCAGCCATCAAAAGACGGGACCCCGCGTACTCAGGCTTGACTATTCCTTTCTTAGCGAAATCGCACATGAACTTCACGCGGATATCCACGTGCTTCGCATTCGCCATGCTCTCCTCGGACGTCAGCTGCTCAATTGCTGCTGGCTGTCCATCTCCATGGGGACCGGATCCGCTATCTGAAAGCTCGGCTACCGTGCCTGCTCCCGCAGCATAGCAGCTCCCGCCCAACGTACGACGCTGACGTGAACTCAGCCTCCAATAGAGAGCTCATTCACGTCGGTTTGCTTCTTGTATATCCTCTGTACCGCAGCCCCGTCTATCGTCACGACTCCTCCGGCTTCGGACTTCCTGTCGCTATTGTCAGCGGCAAAATCCGCGCTCATTCAGCTCTATATCGCCACCATGTCGTCCTTCTTCACCGACGCTTGCATGACGAGCTTGGCACTCTTCGTGACCTTCTAATACCTTACGACTCTCATCGGCAACAGCCGGTCGTTCGTGGTGGACTGGTGCGTCCTGCGCGTGGTCTTATGCACCGCAAGAAGATGTCGATCATGGTGCACCGTGTAATCCAGAGCAGGTTTCCCACAAGCGTCTGGAAACTACGGATCATCGGCTCTCCCCGAACTACTGGGCGCGTCATAGCTCCGGCTCCTCGCGTTTCGCCTCGTTGCTCTCTTCACTGACAGGCATGTGCACACTGTTCGCGTCAACGAGGCCGTGCTGCTCAATCAGCTCCTCGATTGTCGATTGCTGATCCAGCGAGTTCCCCCTCTGTGTTATTAAACTCTATGCGTATTCCCAAGCACTTTTGAACCTCGCATAGATCCTTCACCGACAAGACGCTCATGAAGCGGAAGAAAGCATCCACATTACTCGATTTGGACGCGGTGACCAGGAGGTCATCCACGTACACACCCACGAGTGTCATGTCGCCGTCCTCTCGTTTATAGTACAAGCATATGGTCGCATGAATCCCGCCTCCCCGCACCCCACGAGCTTGGCCTTGAGCATCTCGATGGCTCCGTCAGCTTTGGCCTTGGTCTTGAACACCCATTCAGTGTGCAGTACGTGACTGCCGATCGGTGAAGCTACCACGGCCCACACACCGTTATCTTCGAGTGCTCTGAGCTCCTCCGCTAGTGCCAAGAGCCACTTCTGTCTCAGCCTACTCCCCATTACTTGTCAATAGTTCTTCGGGTCTGCTTCCAGGGCGCTGTTCACCACGTCTGTCGGTTGTCCCACCTATTCACCGCCAGCGCCTCATCTCGCCACCGCTTCTGTGGCCTGCCCCGTAGCCGAGAGCGTCTGGTGCTTGCCCCGCGTTCAGTGGTTCTTCCTGCCGCCACACTTTGTTTTTTTTTTGAGTTCTTCTTTGAAGTGTCCTTTCTCGAGGCGTCGGTTCCCTTTGCCTTCTCCGAAACGTCAAGGTGCACGAGCTTGAACTGCTCATTCGGCACGTCCGACAGCGTCTCAACTCTGCTCACGTGTTGCGTTACCACGACTATCTTGTCCCTCGGGATGTACACCCGGTAGCCTTTAAGTTCGTCAGAATTTCCCCCGATCATTTCCGGCTTACCCTCTTACCCAGCAGTTTGTTTTTAGCGTCCCCTTGCACCGTACAGCGTGACCTAAACACGACAATGTCGCTCAAGTCCGGCCTCGCTTCGTGAGCATCTGCAGTGGTGGCTTCACTCGGGTTCGCCTTCGTCGGGCCCCTGCTTAGGATGTACCACTCCGGTCCGTTAAAGAATTAACCGCTCACTAGAGTGGCTGAAACTTTAGAAGTAAACAGCGTGCAACAACGTTGAGACTTGCATCCGATAACATACATCGCGATCTACGCTCTCGCCTTTAGCGATGTTTTTATTTCCAAAACTGAACTAAATCCACGGTCGCAAACCAGGTGTGATATTTAGCTCAGTTACGGAGTTATATATCGTAAAGGGCGAGTGTGGAGGGCTGCAAGTTTTTTGTCGCAGGTCCGCTGTCAGTGCGTGTATCGAGGAGTGAAAGGCACCAGCGTAAATCAAAGATTGCGGCTGTTCCGATTACGCTAAAATTAGCTTGGAATATTGCTGCGAAAAACAAGGTTTTATTGTTGTTAGAATGATATTCAGCAAATGATAAATCGAAACGTATGGTTTTCGACCAATAATGTAATACCAACATTTAAAGCTAGGAAAAAATCCAAGCTCACCTAGTATTATAGATGTTCTAGTGCCCCAAGTAGGAGATGGTGAATGCCACTTCCAACCACTTCTGTATCGCAAGCAAGCGATAACGCCGTCGTGCTTCGCCCCAGACCTTGTCGCTTCCGGCAGTGCGATAGTTTGTAGTCGTTGTTGCCGTGGTGCTTGATCACTGTTTCCATAATGTTTTGCAGCGTCAGAAAACAGTGGTCAAGCGTAGAGGAGGTAGTGCACGGTTGACAGCGGCGATTAGTTAATCGATTGTGTATGTTGCATCTTGATATTGGAGTGACTAGATCGAGTTAAGAAACCTAAGTCAAGTACGTTTATATCTGGAAAGCGAGGAGGCTGGCGTCTCATTTTTAGCCTTCAACTATCTTGAACGCCAGCAGCAGCTACAACAGGGTCATGCTCAACGACGTGAGGGCCTGCGCTGTCCTGCTGTACAAATATAGTACGCCGTTTAAAATAGTATTAGTAATATCATGTTTAGTTATGAAAATATTATACCACTAATTTTAAACCTTGCCGAACGGCTCTGATAGCTGGGAACATGCGGTCTATAAGCATTTTGGGTAAGACTTTCAGCGAGACAGCAACACATTTAGTGATGACAGTACCATTGGGGCGATTCGCTGAATTTTGGAGCGCCACAATGTGTTCTACAATGAGCCATATACCAATTTTGCCATCAAAATAGCACTTTCGATGGCTGCCGTAGCGATACCTCACTACGACAGCCATCACCTTGCCTATGTACCTCTTGCTTGGTGAGGACGTGTAGGGTGCTTCTTCGCTAGCTGTCGGGTAGAGCGTGTTACTAGCCTTGTACATGTATTCTTTTTCATGTATATGAGCATTATCATACTTGTGACGCAATCTTCCTCCTAAAATAATTATAGTCATATGTCACATAGAAACAGTTATCATTAAAATTAAAATTATAGTATTGATACGTCATACCTACTGGGCGCTCAACATGCATTAGTGCATACTCCAGCCGATTTCGCTTGTGCTCAGCCGTAAGCGCTGGTTTGACGCGGGCGATCACTCGCTTTACAAACTGCTTGCTTATGTACTTAAGCAGCGTAGTCTTGGGAATGTAAAAAGGGATGAGCCAGGCTTTGCAGTGTCTGACGGTGATGAAGTGGCGTGGCGGCTACGTGAGCAACACGTCTGGCTGTCCGAGCTATGTCAGCTCGAGCCGGTGGGCACCCTCTTTTCGCAGTAGGCAGATCTTTGAACCTCTCTCTAAAGAACTTGGAGGCTTGCTGACGACAGCACCCAACCCGGATGGCCGCGGCTGATGCTGCACCACGCTTGACAATCGGGAACGGACCGCGCTGCAAAAACCATCGCCTTGTTTTTCTCGGGGATGTCGAAGGTGCCTTGAGCTCGCGCCAATTTGAAGAGTGGCAGGCTTTCATGGTTGATGAAGCTGCCGATTAGGTAGAGCCCATCTCAATTACTATCATTGTTTTTGTCCAATTATATATAGGTAAGTTTTTTTCTGAAAAACTTGATTGTTTATTATATTAAGGGCCGGAGAAGTATGCTGCATACTCCGCCGCGTCGACCCAGAAACTTAGCGGTAGGCCACAGGCAAAGCCATGCTCCGCACCATGTTCCTGATCGTGTGGTTCGACCTTTCCACCTTGCCACTATTGGCCTGATTGCGACATTCACTGATCTGTCGCCTCACCCCTGTTTCTTCGCAGAAGAAATTTAAGGTCTGGTACTCACCGCCACCATCCGTCCTTAGTACATGAATACGGCAGTCGAACGGCCGTTCAAAAAAAGCTTAAACTTCTGCACCGCAACGTCCTTGGACTTCGCCACGAAAACTCTGCAGTAATTGGTGCGGTGATCGATACAGTTGATCATGTATCGGTTCCCTAGTCTTTCCCTTAAGTCATGCGTCATCGTCCCCTTCAGATTTGAGCAGATGACTCCTCCAATCGCACCAATTCGTGAGCTTGACCCGTTGGTCTTTCATGACTGCTTGTTATGGGTCTGTTTGCCTTGTGCACAGGCCAAGCAGTTCGCCCTCAACTCGTCCGTTAATGCGATCCCCGACGCCGGATCCTTTGCCATATTGATGATCGTGTCGTAGTCTAGATCGCATAAGAGACGGTGAGAGTGGATAAGCGTCCCAGTCTGCACGTCCTGTCCGACCTCTGCCTCATTCTCCGCTAACACCGACAACAACACGTCACCCGCCTTTCTCACTCCACTGGGCCCCAGTACGAGGAGTACGTTGCACGTCTTCTTGACGTCGAGCACCACCGGTCCACCGTTGATGAGCCACGGCGCAGTGCTTTCCTTTTGTACCCTCTCGCGTCTAACAACCGGTGCGATATGATGTTCCCCTCCAGGCTCTCCGCGTACTGCAAGTCCAGCAGTCGCACCTCGACCATCCTTCCCATCGACGGGGCATGAGCGTCACGCTTCCGCGCTTAGTTATTCTAAGCGCATCCTCGTCTGCTGCCACGCATTGGCTTTCGTAGCAGATTCGGGTCATTTACCAGATGACGACTGGATCCGCTGTCCAAGATCCAGTCCTTCGTCTGGATGGTCGGGTCGTCGATCGTGAGCACGACGTCAGCGCCCACGCCTTCGTCCCACTCCTTTTTCTTGCTAGGGTACGCCTCCGCTAAGTAACCTACCATACCGCACTTGTAGTACTTGCATATGTCCGTCTGGTCCTTGTGTACGTTGTTCACCACGTCACGGCCCAGCTGCTTGCCACGTAGCTTGATCGCAGTAGACTGGGCAAAGCTTACCTGTTCTTCCGCCTGACGCAGATAGTTCGTGCGTGTGAGTGTCATCCGTGACAGCGTCGACACTCTACTGGCCAGATCGGCATAATGCACAATGTTATCCAACAACACCTCCGCGCGCTTCGCTGACCGCTACCAAGTACAGGTAGTGCTTGGTCTATCTCCGCTTGACACTCTTATGAGCCGTGAACATCTTCATGATCTGTGTCGGTGTGATATTCGTCGCGAACGTGTGCAGCAGCCGCTGCATCGCGCCTTTTCAGATGTTAGTTGTAGTACCGCTCGGCCATCCTGGTCATGTTGTGACACACGGTTGCTATCGAGCGTGCACGGTGGCCAATCAGATCCCGAGACAATCGTTAATGGCTGTGACGGCCTTGATGCCGTTACGCCCATCAATCAGAGTTTGATTTACCTGCTTCATTTCACTACAGTGTGTGCTTAGTAACGGGTTGTCTTTAGCCTGTTACACCTGGTAGCACTTTGTAATCCGTCCAACGCCAAAAGATGAATGACACATCGATAAACGACGCGTCCAAGATGACCGCCACATCCCCGATAATGGAAAGTGCTGCGTCGTCGCCGGGCGCAGAATCCGAGAGAGACCAAGCAACGGCGCCTTCCCCCCACACTCACGTCCCTACTACATCTTCTGAGTGATCGCCATGTATGGTACAGCTCTACTACACAAGCTGGTACAGCTTTTTCGCCTCTTTGACTGAGTATCAAAACGACACTCATCAAGGTTTCCGCAAGCGACCATCGACAAGTGTCGCTTCACGCAACGACGAACTGAACAAACGAGGGACACTGACGTCTGCAACACAGATTCCGCTGTTTTTTTATACGTATTACCGCAGGTTCTGTTGCACACATGGTTGGAGGCGTCCAAGTCGCGCTACAGGCAAGCGCAAACACTACTTCGTGAAGTCCACAAAATGCGAAGAACAGCTTTCTGTCACGGTCTGTCTAGGTGGCTAATATGGGGTTCCGAGCGATGGTGACTCAGCAACGCACATTGCACAGCCATGAGTCGGTTGCGACGTCGTTCGAAAACCACCCGGCCAACCGCCGCGTTGACGATGCAGACGTGATTAGCTTAACGGACGAGCTTCAAATGGCGGGAGCGAAAAAGAAGCGAATTCTAAAATACTTACGCAGAAATACAGGTACGTCTCCTCATAGTATGTTATTCGAAGCCGAGTTTTACTAAATCGTGTGTGAAGCGGCGTAAATAGGGAAGAAAGCTACGCTACGTGATGTGCACAACCACGGTCAGAAGCTGAAGGATGCTCGTCGTGGCTCAACTACTGTTGAAGAGCGACTGAGCCGGTTTACACGACTTCTGTGGTTCACGAAAGAAAAAACACTGCAACTTTCTATGTAGATGACGACAAATTTGCCCAAACGCTTACTTTCCACCCGCACCAAATGCGAAGGTCTTTTGAAGCGTTCCCAGAGGTGGTTATGATCGACGCTACCCACAACACTAATGACGCCCGCTATAAGCTGTTCAGTTTCATGATACACGACGTATTTGGTCATGTAAGTACCTATGCTTCCGCTACGAGGCTGACTCCTGTATACCTGTTGCCTAACTATTTGTGGTATTTTGTGTATGTTATACTGTGTGACTGTTGTGCGGCGGTGGGACTGGATTGTGACTATTGTGTGGCGGTGTGCTTGTAAAAAGGAACAGTATGTGCAGCATGCGCTGATGGAAAATGAGTGTACTGGATGTCTTACTGACGTGATTACTTCATTTAAGTCATTCAACCCAACGTGGGAGCAAATTCGGATCATCATCGTATCCAAAGATTACGGGGAGATATCGCTGCTGCGTGGTGCCTTTCCTGGTGTTAGAATTCTATTGTGCACGTTTCACGTCGTGAAGTATCTTCGAACCGAAGTGTCGAAGTAGGATTATGGTGTGCTGGATCGTGATAAAGTTGAAGATGCTGTACACATGATGTTGAGTGCGCAGACCGAGGCTGAATACGATACTGGTAGAAAATATTTGCTCTACGTCGTGGAAGGCAAGCAAATTTTACAAGCGGAAGAAATTCCAGAGCCTGAACATGCAATTTTGAAGTATTTTCATGCAAACGGGCACCAGTGCAGAGAGATGTGGAGCTGGTTCGGACGTGTAAACGTTCCACATATAGGCAATACTACTAACAATCGGTACGGATCTACTTAGCAACAAAGATAGCGTTGGACCTTGCTAACACTGTCCTGCATAGACTGGTTTGTCTGAAAGCGGCTTGGAGCCATTTGAAAGACGTACTAAGGCCAACCATGATGCTCGACATGTGTGTCGATACATTGTTGTTTTGCAGTCAATCGCAGAAATGGAATATACAAAGCGGGTGACGGATGTTGGATACATGCGTTACAGTGGCGCAGACGCTGAATTGGAGACGTTGGCGAAAGAGGTTAGCCAACACGCGTACCAGCTTGTGGAGAAATAATACCGCGTGGCAAACGATCGAGAGACGCAGTATAACATCGTTCAGCTGCAAGACCACGTGTTTGAGCTGGCATCACTGGCCCAACCTGATCACAAACATCATGTTGACAAAAATGTACGTATATTACGTATATCACTTGGGTTTAATTTGACAATTCACTTAAAGTTTTGATTTATAGGCCTACAGATGTTCGTGTACTTTCATGAGAACGGAGCTATTACCCTGTTGCCGCATCATCTATTGACTTTAAATCAACACCTGAAACACTAACGGTGCTTTACCCTCAGCAGCAGAAGAAGCACTCTAAAGAATGCGAAAGCATAATCAAAGCTCTGTTCGAAGAGACCGCGAGCGCCATGATCACGAAGCGAGAAGAAATTTTGAAGCAACTGGATAGTCACTGCTGCGGTCCGTTAGTGCTTCTTTATTTTCGAGTGCGTAATGGCCTTTTACGTTACATTCGAATGCGGTGTTTACTGAAGACACTACATGTTTAGAAATACTCTGCAAAACTACACTTAAAAATGGCTGAGTTTACTACCGTCTTACCCCGCATATAAGGCATATGTGCTGTAAATGAATACAACACTGCTTGTGTGTTATATTCGTTTAGAAAGCCTATGTGTCGTACAACGAATAAATTGTTTGACTTTGAAGAAGCAAGTTTGTGGGTCCTGGAATCTGGCTTGGTCGTTTAGGCTGACCCTCCTACGCGATCGGCGTGGGTTCAAACCGCCACGCTGTGCTTCTTGCTAAGGGCAGCAAAGCCGTGACCTTTCACGCCTATCGGATAGTCTGCTAGAACAGCGAGTTTCTTGTGGATACTATAGCTACGTCGCTCAGCACTCATGGCTGTGTAAATTATAAAATAAGAGAATTAAAGCCAAGTAACAGCAGCACCGACAAGTTTGTTCAGAAGGGTGGTTGGTTGGAAGCCCTCAAGAATATTCATTGGTTGGTACAGCCTTGTGTTTTACAGCCTGTGTTCGAATAGGTAGGTGGTCAAATTGAGGTTTAAGCTAGATGTCGAGCGAATCCCGTATTTTATTTAGAACAGATATGCCTTATATGCGGGGTAACGTATTTTTGTTTATTAAATATGGAAGGTCGCTATTCATTCCTTGTGGTCAGAAGAAATGCCCCGTCAGAGCCTTCGCCTTAAGGCGGCCGAGAAAATCGTCGCCTCTGCCGCCGCTTCGACGGCCAAGCAGAAACGCAAAAGCGTCTCGGCCGTTAAAGTGTCGGTGGAAGTATCCACCTCCACGCCACCCCCCAAGCCCAAAAAGGTCAAGACGTCCTCCGCCGGCGATAAGAGCGCGTGGGGGGCACTATTCTCCAAGCCCAAGAAACAAGAGCACGCTCGTCCGCTGACGGCGGAGCCCATTTCTGCCGAACTTCAAGCGAAAATCGACGCATTTCCTTCCTTTGAGGACGTTTCGCGACGCTCGGCGGACGATATCGACACAAAAATCGTCGCGTGGAACGTGAATGGTCTTCGTGCTGTCCTCAAGCGCGACGAAAGTGTCCACCTTCGAGCCTACGTAGCTCAGGAGGACCCCGACATTTTCTGTCTCAGCGAGACCAAAATCTGCCGCGACGAGCTCCAGAAACTCGAGGACTTTTTGCCCCAATACGAGCACCAATACTGGTCCTGTGCAATCAAAAAAGGGTACGCCAGCACAGCTATTTTTACTAAGACCAAACCTCTGAGTGTCAAAGACGAGATCGTCGTGGGCGACCACGACTCTAAGGGGGTCGCCAAGTCCGCGAACGGCGGGAAAGACCAGGAAGGACGCTTTCTAGCGCTGGAATTCCCTAAATTCTGGCTGGTCCACACGTACGTGCCCAATGCTGGAGGGAAACTGGAGCGCTTGGATTTCCGAACGACCCAATGGGATAAGGCCATGCACCGCGAGATGAAGGAGATGGAGAAGACGAAGCCTGTGATCTGGTGTGGGGATCTGAATGTCGCTCATCAAGAGATCGACATTCACAACCCCAAGGGGAACCACAAGAGCGCAGGCTTTACGGACGAGGAGAGGGAGAGCTTCGGCGAGATCCTGGAGGACGGGTTCGTCGACACGTTCAGACACTTGCATCCGGACACAGTGGAGTACTCGTACTTTGGATACCGCCACAACATGCGCGCCAAGAACAAAGGATGGCGACTCGACTACTTTGTCGTGTCCGAGAAGTTACTGCCCCATGTGGTACGTCTCTTCAAAACTGATAATCCGGAGTGGGTTGATGATTTAATCTTCGTTTTGTGCTGCAGCGATCGTCGTATATCCGGCAAAGCGTCGTCGGCAGTGACCATTTGCCCATCGGCTTGGAGCTAACCGGCCTTTCAGCTTGATCGTGTATAGATGTATACATGATTACGAAAAAACAAAATATGAAAGTCCCCGCAGCATTGATCGACTCCAGTGCTGTACTTGGATTAACGTTACCTTTGCTTCGCGCTACATGTATCTCGCCCACCACACATGCAGCCACTCTAGAACGCGTCACTATGATTGCGATTGCGCTCCGCGAATCCAGGCTGACTGCTAACTCCTTCGACGCTCCCACCTCTCGAGCCGTTCGGATCGTCATCCGGTTTACCTGGCTCGGCCACTCCGTTCTCGTTCGAGTGCCCCCCATCACTATCTGCGTCACTGCCGTCCTCATCCTCTTCGCCGTCTTCTCTGTACTTGAGCAGACTGCGCTCCACGAACGGAGACGTGGTTCGGTACTGATCTGCCACCCAGATGCGCAACGTCTCGAGGAATCGCCCGTCGCCTTCACTGACGCCGCCTCCGACACTCCGCACTGGCGCCTGGTTGTCGTCTTCCAGCTCCCACTCCGTCTTGACCTCGATGTCTTCACGGTCGCTGCACACACGCATGAGCAGCGGCACGAACACTTTCCGTACATCGCGACGGATACTGGGGATCTCCAGCGCTCGCGCCTGCAAATCTTTCGACGTCTTGCCGTTGACGATATCCGCCAACCAGTTGAGACAGAAGCTGAATTTCCGCAGATTCGAGCGACAGATCTCGAAGCGCATGAGCTCCAGCAAGTCCATTTCTTCCGCCAAACGAGGACAGCGAGCCAGCACGAGCTCCTGGACGCGGTAGAAGAGCTCGTCCGAGTTCTCCAGCCCGTGGCCGCCCAGCGAGTAGCAGTTCTCGCACAGATCGAAGCCCACGCACGTCTCACACGAGTAGCGTTCGCCCACAATAGGCGTCATCTTGCAGAACTGGCAGGACGTGCCTTCGTGCGTGAACTTGCTGTTCTTGAAGGTCGCCGCCACGCGCTGCTTGGCGCCGGCGGCCATCGTGCCAATGAACTTGGCGGCGTTGAGTCCGCCCCATTTGCGCTTTGACATGGTCACATCGGGCACTTCTGCCGACTCGGAGGCGGTGTCCATGTCGTCGGTGTGCTCGCTGCCTCGCTCTAGCGGAGAGGGGGCCGCCAGTGGCATCATAGTTTCCACGTGTTTCGGTTTGGATACATAGATGGCTTTGCTGCCAGTGCTGATAACTCGAGACATGTGAGGCACCAGCTTACCCACGTCCTCGATTGAAGGACCCAGGAACATGTGGTCTTTCCCGAACTTCTTCTCCCCAGGCACGAAGCCGCCTAGCACCGAGTCGCGACGACGTTCGATCTGGATACGAACATCGGTCACTAAAGTGCGGCGTTCCATCGTGGCGTACGAGATGCGAAGTGCAGGGTGGGCCTTAAGTAACGGTAACAAAAAGTCCTTCAACTCAGTCTGACGCTCTTGGGACAAGTGACGCAGCACGATCTGCGACTCGTTCACAGGCTCCGCCGTCGAGTCCGGGTCCAGCGCGCCCATGAGCACTCGACTGGCGCCTTCCTGGTGTTCGTACGGCAACTTGCGGATCAATTCGTCCAGTCTGTCGAGGTCCAGAGCCTCGTCGAAGCTCCGAGCGGCCTTAATCTTCCTGTCTTCTGTCCAATCACGGATCGTCTGGTCTGCCGTGGGGTCCTCAGGCGGTAACAGACCTGAAGTAATAGGCGGCGGCGTACCTGGAGGCGTGTCGGGCTCCTCGTCGCTCCCGTACTCCCTACTCTCGTCTCCCTCGCTAATATGACTGGCTTTGAGGCGGTCTTTCGGGCCAAAGCCCACTGTGTCTCTCCCTTCCTCTTCCGCTTGCGCCAAGGCCGCAGCCACACTGGAACGTCGTCGCAGCTGCATCTGTTGGATCTGATTCTCGAGCTCGAGCACCTTGTCCTGCTTGTCCTTCAGTCGATTCATCCCTGCCTCCTGCTCCTGCTTCAGCGCCTGTTCCAGTCCTCCGATACGCCCCTTGTGGGCATTCACTTGCTCTTCATGTCGCTGGAGCTCCTCGTCCTTCCGATCCACGTCCTTAAGTAACAAAGCGTTCTCCGCCTTAAGCGCCGCCACTTCGGCAGCGTGGCGCTTCCTCTCTTCCTGTCGCACCTCACGCTCTGCTTGAAGCGCCGCGTCGGCGTCCTCGTTGCTCTTGCGTTCAGCGAGCGCCTCGACCTCCGAGTCGCGCGCCTTGGCGGCTTCTAGCTGCTTGGCGCGCTGCTTCTTATTGGCCGCCTCGAGTGCGCTCACTAGGCCTCGTAAAGCAGCTCCTTCCTCCTCTTTGAACTTAATTTCTTGCTGTAAGAACGCAATCTGCTTGTGCGAGGAATCGAGTTTCGCAGTTTCCAGCGCTAGCAGCTCGTTTTCGCGGAAAACGTACTCGAACTTCTTCTTCCAGCGCGAAAGGTCCTTCTTGAGTCCCACATAGTTGCTCTCGTAGATCTGAAGCTCCTTGATCTTAGTGGCCAGCTCCTCCTGCGTCGCACGCAGCATGTCCACGTGCTCGGCGCGCTCGGCGTACCGAGCCGAGTTGCTGTGGTCCGCGTCCTCCTCCTCCATGGTCCAATGAGCGACTGGGGCTTTAAAGAACCTGAGTCAGGAATGGAAAGTAGCGGTGTGAAGTTGTTTTTAGTTTTGGACCAATTAGAGATGATTCGGAATATGTTTTTGGCGAATGGGAGAGTGGAAACTGAAGTAGCGGAAGATGTGATGAGCCATTCGGCTTGGCCAGATGGCTTTTCAGTATTGATAGCTGGGGGAGGAATGACACGTGGAGTGGTCAACCTTTGCCAGTGCAAGCTAGAGTCGACAGTTTTTGCCTTCAGATTGCTGGTCTGATGACAGGGTGCAATGGTGCTGGCGACGGAGTGCTGGACTTTTGAACTTTATTCTTGATTGCTCCTGACGATGAGCGACGGAAAAACGTTTTCTTTCGTGCCGTCGGCCGGGAATCGTTGAGGCTCGTCGTCGTTTTTGTTTGGCACCACCCTTTTATTAAGATATATTTTATTAACTTTAGCTTATCTTGGATATTGGGACGCATTTTCATCGGAAGCTTTGCATAAGTAAATTAAATTAAGAGGATCTTCGCCTTTATTGTGAGCTATCCCGAAATACATTTTTAAACGGAGAATAAATGGTGGGCTCGAGCTTACAGTGCACTTCGTTATCCGATCCTCTCAGTATGATGCACCAGCATACTATCTATCGGATAGTCTGCTATCCGTAAACTGGCTGTTGCGCTTCAGTATAATAGCGATGGCCTTAAGTCATACTGTTACTGTAAGAGCTTGAAAATCTGCTGCTGATGCTTTCTCAGCACTTACTAGTAATCTGAACCAGGCACCTGCAGCATTAAAATTGTTTTTACAGCTCGATAAAAGCGAAATACCTTGCATAACTGGTTGTTGCTGCTTCTTCGATGTCTGTGCAGCCTGACAAATAATTACTTTGGTCATTCATTATTGGTCTAGCAAAATTTATCACAGGTGACATTAAATGTATTAAATTTTAAATTTTAAATAATGGCATGGCATCGAAATATTACGTAGATGTTATCCATATATTATGATATTTGCGCTGGTGCATGAGCGTGCTCGAGCTCATTCAACAAAGCAAAAACGCCTTATTGTAAGACTAAATTCTTTTAGGCATTTGCATTTATTCAGCAGCAAGTCAAAATGTCAGTTTAAATACCGCCCCCCCCACACACACACTTCAGGGAAGGGTAAATGTCAGGCTCGAGGTTTGTAGGACTGTGGATCTTTTTTTAACAGAGTTCCACAATAACTATTATACCCTTGAACATGGCGCGCTGGTGGAAGACCAGCAGCCCTCCGCGTATCAGGAAGAGATGGTGCCGATAAAGCAACAGAAGGGCTAAGCGTGGACGACATGAATAATTACCTTCTAAAAATTTTTACTAGGAAACATGAAGCGAAGAGGCAACGCATATAAGTCAGTTGCACGTCAAATATCGTTGAGGGCTGAGAGTAAACCGCCACATTTAAACAACTGAGCTAGCTGGAATGCTATCGAATTGCAGTGAAAATCAATTCATACATTTTCGTGAAAAGAAATGCTTGTTTGAATAACTCCAACGCAACAACGGAGGAACGAGTTGCCGTGCACACCTAATAGCCAATCATTGACCGTCGCGCGTGTCCGCCACGTGCCCATAACGCCCATCAGCACCGTGCTCTACAGATTACTCGTCCGACCACTACGAGCATCTCCGTCTCATTGTTGAGCTTTCCGTCCATTGCCAAGGTCTTAATGTCCGCAGGAAGGCTTGCAAATCCCTACGTGATATCGCCCATGATTGAACCGGAGTCACAAATTGCACTACGTCAACGTCGTCACTCTCCAAGTCTGTGGCGATATGTACTCGCCACCACGCTGAAACTTCTTGTGGCGTTATGTTTCGTGCTGTTCATCGGTGGCCAAGCCGCGTTCGTGTCTCCACTCTACAAGAACAAGATTCGGTCCACAGTAGCGTCTTGGTGGGGAACACATGAAGAGATGGTTGATCCGTCATATCTTCTTTTCATCGGGGTAGTGCCAACATTACTATGCGTCACTGTGGTCTCGTGGCTTCGTCAACTGCGTACACGGCGTAACGTTTGGAGACTTACAAGGTTTCTACGTCGACGACCGTCATCCGACAGTCTCAGCTACGGTGAACTTCTGTTTCTTATGATCCTAATTACTGGAAATGCTGTGATCTTTTGGCTAAGAAACATGGACATAAGCCTCGATCCAGTGGCAACCCGCCTTCTCCTCACCCTCCAGGTCCTCCGTCGGGCCCTCCGTACATCAAGATGACAGGAAACGCTCTCGGCTTCAACTGTCTCTTCAACACGGCCTTGCTCTTTGTACCAGCCACGCGAAACAGCGTTTGGATGGAGGCTATGAGCGTTTCGTATGCGAACGGTATCAAATTTCATCGCTGGCTTGGAATTGCCGCGATATTGACAGGAATTGTCCATTGCGGGTGTTACTACTTCGACTGGTTGTAGGATGGGAGATGGAAGCAAATGGCGTTGCCCTGCTGGGATTGCTCGCTACGTGAACGTATGGGACGGAAGATTTGGATCAACGTATTCGGGGAAATGGCTCTTTTGTGCTTTTTAGTGATCGGAGGTACGTCTATTCCGTGGATCCGACGCAGAATGTACCAATTGTTCTACAATGTGCACCAGCTTCTCTTCCTGGCAATATTTTTTACTTGTCTGCATTGGGCGCGAGCGGTGTGGTTCCTTCTGCCTTCGGTCGTTGTGTACTTCATTAGCAGAGTTCTGTCGCACTGTAATGGCACTACACCTGTGGAGGTTCTGGAGCTTACAGCGTTATCCCCGTCCTTATGCAAGCTGGTGATAGCTTGTATGTCAAGCGAGAGGGGACAATATCAAGTTGGGCAGTTCGTCTACTTGAATATTCCGGCTATCTCACGCATAGAGTGGCACGCATTCACCGTCGCTTCGTCACCGAAAAGTTCTCCGAATTCCATGACAATATTGGTCAAAGCGTTGGGTGATTGGACGGAGAAGCTCATGACTTACCAACAAATGTGCACGAGGTGTTCAATCCAGCCGGAGGTCTATGTGGATGGCTACTTTGGCGTCTCTCTGGCTGAAACGTACCAAGCGTACAACACCGTTATTTTGGTTGGCGGCGGCGTTGGTATCACCCCGTTGCTTGGTATACTGGAAGAAGTTTGTGCTGTTGCAGAGACTCGGCAACTACAAGGACGGAAACTTCATCCTCGTCGAATTGCTGCGATTTTTACGATGCGAGAACTCGAACTATTAAACGAACTATCGCCTTTACTGGCTCGAATCCGTGAATTAGACCCACACGGACATCATATATCGGTAAACTTGGCGTTGACAACTTCTCTTCGACCAGAACAATGGGACTCGTCCCTTGAAGACAGCCGCAAATCTCCAAAACTCTCGCAGACGCAAGCTTTCAGCCCTTCGAAGAAAGGGTGTCCGTTTGGGTCTTCGTTTGGCTCCAGTGGCATCTCAATGCTTCACTTTATTGTGTTTGGGCTCGTGGTGGGGTGTAGTACGGTCCTCCAATTCGACAGTGGCATGCTGGTTGGACTGCAAGACAACCTGGACGTGAAATTCACCAATTAGATCACGGAAAGTCGAAATACCACGACCGAAAACGCGATTTTCGCCAGCTTCTGACAGTAAACTTTTCTTGAGATTCCACTCTTCCACGGGGTACTGAGCCCTGCAGGTAGCTCGAATATTGCGTATCCAACGCATTAATACAGCGCAGCTGTACATACAAAAAGCAGCAGCGAAGAGTGCAAAAGTTTTGAGGGAGAGTTGCAGCACCCAAATCGAGTGGCTATCGACCAAATATAACGGAACATTTTCGACAGTTACACGCAATCCATTGCACTGATGGTGAGTCCATTGGTGTTTTCGTGTCAGGACCAGGGAGCTTGAAGACCGCGATAGTTCGAGCTGCGTCGGCAATTAGTGCGAGTGACTTTGATATTCACGAAGAAGAATTTGAATTATGAATAAAACGACAATATTTGAAAACTGCTACGGTGAAGCTTGAAGATTCTACACTCAAAGTTCGAATTCCTCCTCATGCACATCAAAGTGTTGGCTGCCGATGTCTGCGATCGCGTACTCGACCGCTTTCTTGAGCTCCTCGGGGCCTGAAACAAACACGCCGATCGTCTTGTTACCAGCAGCGGACGACGATGGATTCGCCTTACGGAACGCGCGGTGCTCCATAAACGCCGACTCAATGAGGTCGGGGATGTTCGGACGACGTCCAACGTCCACATTGTACTCAGAAATAAGATTCTGGAACGTGTGGACATCCGCAGCGACGGACGGAAGACGAGGCGTCTCCACCACGTCATAATTGCGTGAACTATTGGTCTTGGGATCGTGCGTCTTCTTGTCCAGAGCCACGCTCGTGTACACCGTGATCATCCCCACCACGATCAACAGAGAAATTTCGACAAAATTCTGTAGAGGCCACAGATTCTCGTGGTCGACCTGCACCTTGTTGCCGTACTTAACCAGCAGCACGACGATCAGCGTGATCAAGAAGGACGCGCCGAACATCACGACTTTGCTTGTACGGGTACGCAGAGGCAGGCATTCCGAAATAATCATTGTATTGCTGCTTCAATACAATAGTTTACACTAAATTATTGATTTTACAAATTGGATGACTTTTTCCAATTAGTTATTTTGTATTTACAACAAAGTACTTTATTTTTTCGTAAAATCTAGTTTTTTCTGCTTTGTTTTGCGTAAATACGGAGCTCGGTCTCCAGATGGCTGTTAGCAACGGTCGCTCAAAACGCGAACCTGAGGCGCTCGTCTATAATTTGTGATCTCACCATGGCTCTCGCCAACACCTTCACGACCAAGCAAGTCTGCAGCTACTTTTTTACTGCCAGCTTGGCGACTTCCAGTCGGCCACCATGAAGCTTCAAGACGACAACGTAACGCTTCTCGATGTGCGCGATATCTTTGATGCGCTCATCGAGAAGCATTCCGTTGTGAAAAAGTATCTTGCTGCCGACGCAAATACGTGGACTTCGAGCGAGCGTGCGTTGTAGCCCTGTCAGGCGCCGTGGACGAGCTGACGAACGACCAGGAGCCGATGTTGCAGCCATTCGAGACGGTACCCGCAATTACGACACCGGACACCAGGCACGGACGCCCACAGGGCTTTGCCGAGAGAGTCTTGGCGACTAGAAAAAAGCGGCGCGGTGCAAAGAAGATATTTGATGGTGTGCTTTTCATCCCGCCGACGTCAAACACCGTGGAGCGTCTTTTTAGTGTGGCGAAACATACTCTTTCCCACCATCGCCAGCGTATGCTGCCTATTCACCTTGAAACCGTGTTGTTCCTGAAGATGAATCGGCGTTCCTGGGACGCAAACACTGTAGCAGCTATCGTGAACGCAAAGTAATGTGCAGTGCTGTACATCTAAGTAGGTAATTTTCCAATACACTACTATTGATGTCAATTATTTATTTCTTAAGCTGTAGTTTTTGTAGCAATAGCTTATTTTGGCATGGACCTTCAATATGATTGCAATTGTATTATCGGAATGCCTGGTCGGGAGTCTTGAGCGACGAGAAGGTCGCATCGATACGAGGAGTTGTGGTGGAATCTGAGTGATTTGGTGCCATTATGGAAGATCCGGATTGAGACCGCTGCACTTGTGCAGATCAAGAGAAATTGCGGAATGCTCGAGTAGCGAGACTTTGTCGGGGAGATTCGAATCGTTGAGGGAGTGTACATCGGGAATTGTGGGGCTCAGACATCAAAGCAGAAGCTGGACGACAGACGCGACAAAAGCTGGACCACGACAGTGCCGTGTGCCAAGATGGCACACGTCCTCGGGCCAATGGCGGCTTGTTATCGCGGCGGTACACTGCGTTGAGTGTTGACGAGTGGAGTCGTCTCACCGTGAACGAAGCTTCAGTTTGTAAAGTGACCATGGTACAATACATGTATACAGTACTGCACCCCGTTTTCGCGCTCTTGGACCTTTGATAAACCTCCGGATGTGATGATCCAGAATCCACATTAACTATAGTTTGATAGCAAAAATCTAATTTATTTGCAGATTCTATATGGTCCACCCCCGCGAAAACGGGGTGCAGTACTGTACATGTAGTATTGGATTAATGTACAGTACCATATAAGTGTGCACATGTACAGTATCCGTAAAATGTTATACAGTAGTAGTGGGCTGGCGTTATCCCGTCTTGGTTGCCAACCAAGACGGGATCAGCAACCAGGTTGCTGATCAAAGAAGACTGCGAACAGCAAAATCCACACGTACGGCATACCGGTACATGTACTTGTATCTCCATCTATTGATACACATGCACAGCGACGTCCATGCACTAGGTCACCAGGTTGGGTGGTGAGCTGGTTACATGTACGCCGCGATCATGAAGTTGGAGCGAAATTATCGGGAATCTTTGATTATTTTTGTCGCTGAAAGAGGGAAGGCCACAATTCCAGCTGCATTGGGGCTGGCCCAATTTGGGCCCAGCGGATTCCACTGCGGAACCGTGTCTCCTGTTCAAATCCCGGTCTTCTATCGGATAGACGTGCCCTGCACCAATGGTATTGCCACGAAACTTTCGTGACGAAAGTGGCGCAGCAGAGAACACGGTTTGGCACAAACCGTTATAATAGGGCTCCAAGTTGGACACCTTTCATACAGTACATGTACCTGCTGATCCGCCGCCGTACGACTCGCACAAAAGAGGTGTCATAGATAGCTTATCTTCATTAAAATGCGCGTGCAAAATTTATCCTTGGCCTCCCATTTAGCTTTGATTCATCGATCCACAGGTCAATTTCTTTGAAAAGCTGGCAACCTGGTATTAATACACGTAAAGATTTATCGCTGCTGGCCTCGTTTTTGAAACGATAAAACTCATATTGTACATGTACACTACAAATTAAAAAAAAACTACCGGTAGTAAATTAAGAGGAGACTTACAGACAACGACGGTGAAATCCGCCATACCGAACGTTTAAAACACGCCCGCACCCAACATGGTTTCCCCACTAAAGAAAGCAGTTTCAACCAATCTATATTCCGTATTCGGGTGTTTCTGTACATTCATTAATCAGTTTTGTACCTTTTAAAATCGTTTGTGTTCGATGAAACTTCCACTTTCAACCAATCAAAATTATGGGTCTAAACTAAGTTCGCATTCAAATATTAAAAAATATGTACCGTGCGAATACCGAATCGATTCAATGATCGAAGGCAAGCTCTGGACCAGTCGCTTGCCGAGGTTGTCCGACGACAGGTTCTCACGATCCTGATCGCTTCCCACAAATCTGATTCTCCATTGAAGACTCTCAAAGTTCACCGCAACGAGTACCGTAATTTTCTAGGGACGCGTGTCGATTCACACTACATCTATTACGCGTTTGCCATTAAGTTATTTGCTCAGTTCTGCACTTCAGTACACTTCTACGATTTTCTAGCTCTCTATCTACCTATCTAGCTCACATTGAGCTTGGCGGAGATCTCCAAGTGACCGCCTTCGCTAGCACGAGGCACCCAAAGCTTGACCGATCCACCGCCGGTACCGGGGAGACCGAGGAATCCAGGCCGCCACCGATCAAGGTACAGCGTCTTTCCTCCCAGCTCCATCACGGTTGATGTCCACGTCACTATTTTGCCAGCCGGGACGTCCTTCTCGTCGAGCTTGTCGCCGCCCGAGATGATATTGACCGTCACGTCCTTGGTATCGGTACTAATAAAAGTGATCTTGACGACCCCATCGCCCTTGCGTTTCCAAGACGAACCACTGTTGGCGAAAGCTTTGCCAACTGTACGGAGACCGAGAGTGTTGGGGTCTGTACCGTCGTCTATCTCGCCTACGAGCTGCGTAGGTCCACAGATCGTCTGAATGTACTCGGACAACAGACCGGAGATACGCGTAAGATCGATGTAGAAGAGTGTGGCGATCGTCATCAGCACTTTGTCGGCCACAACTCGCGTGTACTGCTTAGCAGTGAGAGATGTGCCGTTGTCACTCTTGCCTTTATTGATCAAGTCGTCCACGATCACGCCGTACGTCTTCCGAAGTAAGTCACGCGTCTTGTACGCCATGGCCTCGTCCGACTCCACGATCATTTGGTCCATACAGTTGTTCGTAACTGTCGGGATGTCGTGCAACATGAGGTCTGATCTGTACACCTGTACGCGGAGAGTGTCCTGAGATATCCCCGGGTTCTCCTCCTTCATCTCGGCGATCGTTCTCCACGTGCGATCTGTGAGTCGCTGCAGCTCGTAGCCACACGTCGAGTTGGACTCCATCCCTTTTTTCAAGGACGAGATCTCCGTGTCGTTAAGGTCGTTCACAGCGTACGTAAAATTGGACCGAGTTAGGAAAGCTTTAAACTTGCCCCAACTTTTGAGAATATTGTCCTGACGAGCCAGAACCTCGCCTAGCATCACTTGGATTGTACCCATGGCCACACTGGCAGGATCCAGGACTTGCCAGTTGTAGGTTCTGCCCATACACATGACGATACTAACCGGTAGATCGATGGTAACGTAACTTGTCTGGTATAACGCCAAGAGGAGTTTATCCTGCGGTATCTGAGGATCCGACACTTTAATTGCGCGAATGTAGTTGACGATAGCGCGCATCGTACCGAACATGGCCCGTGCGCACTTAATACCGACGCGAACGTTCCGTGAGAGCTTGGCGAATGCTCCAAACACGCCCAAAATCTGGACAGAGAAGAAGGCGTTGGCCACACTCACAAACTTGGCGTAGATTTCCGATTTGCAGTCGTCATTCTGACGGATACATTCGAAGCCGCACTCTACCGGGTAGGCCATAGGACACTGCGCCCAGCACATGTTCGTGCTGTAGTCGAAGCCGTACGGACACGTATCCATGACGAAGCTTTTTCGCCAGCAAGCCTTGTCAAAAGCAGGGTCCGAAGGCTTGCCGATACTGGGGCCAACCCAGTTACGGTAGGTCGACACGATCTTGTCAGTAGTATTAGCAGTCGACCCGATCTTGATGTTACATGTATCAGGCACAGCCACTGTGGCCAGCGCATTCGAGGGGGCATAATCTTCGTCCGATTCGTCGTCCGACTCATCGTTCGAGTCGCGGGTATCACTTGTCGATGCGCCCGTAGACACCGAGTATGAGTTATCCGAGTCACCCACGCCATCCATTTCGTCGTCGTCGGAATCGACCTCATCTGACGAAGATGAGAGCGATGCCGTCGCTGGTCTTAATGTTCCCGGAGAGTATGTGTGCCCGATCACAATTAACGGCTTCGCTTTAGTTACTGGGGCGTTGGAGGCCACGGCGGCAGTAACGAAGACCAGCAGCTTGAGCCACCTCCTCATGGCGATAAATAGATGCAGGAGCGGCTTGTCGAGAACTCCGCAGAAACGAGAATGACACGGCATGCTCGACTGGCACAGCGGATCCTGGTGATTGGGCAGAGACTACCTGCACAGTCTCAAATTCAGACTGTGCAGCCGATGCACAGTCTCGGCTATATTATGTTCTCTTCGCGCAGATTGCTGATCCATGTGGTCGGAAAGGCTAGCACGTTAGCGACCAAAACAAGTGCATCTTCGGGTACAAGAACGTACGAAAAAACCAGAGTGATTGTCGGTGAGTGTGGCGGCAACTCGACTTTTCAAACTTATCTAAGCACCACTCAAGCGGCTTCACCGCGGTGTTCGCCTCGCCGCAATGTCACTCCCTGCTCCGTAAAGCCTTTCATATGTATGCACACTGGTCGATATCATTCTTTTTACAAAGAATCATTGACAAAAAATAACTACAAAAAAGCTTACATTGACGATAATATAAGACTTAAGTATCTGTACCGGAAGAATTCCATCACTTGTCTGATACCGCTTTCACTGTCCAGTCCAGTGACATGCACTCCATAAAGCTGGAGCTCAACGAAAAGAAGGACAAATACGTAGGTTTTATTGTAGAACTTAAACTCCTCAGGGACTGGCATGAAAGCAGACATATTTCTCTGCATTTTAGCGTTTCTTGTCCGCACTAGAGTGTTTGTTCGAATGGTGTAAATCTGATCACAGTAAGTATTTAGTACGATTTCAGAAACTGTTTCACAGTCTCAGACTGTTTCACAGTCTGAGCAGCACAAACCTGGAATGTTTTCCTGCTGTATGCCTTCAGATACGACTCCAACGCATCCCAGCTGTCGAAAGCCGTCACATCCAGATCCGGTACGTCCACTAATTCGTCTTGAGGAGCGATGTCACCTCCGTCGCATCCTTCTGTTTCCGAATCGGACGAATTTTGGCTGCTAGCATCAGAGTCTGATGCGAATGAATAATGAGATCCCTTCTCGTGCTCGGATTCTACTGACGAATCCTGAACGTTCAATGATTCTTCATTTCTGCGTCTAGAAGAGTTGTGGCGACGCGAGGATAATCGATGAGGCAATTGCTTTCTTCGCTTGGTTACCGCTCGATCTCGGGCGGTAAGATGCCTTCTTAATCTCTTCTTCTTCTTCCGTGAGTTTGAATGAACTGCAATGTCGCGGGATTCGCCTTCGCTGTAAGATCTTGACGCAACGCTTGCTAGGCCTTCGTCACTCCCTTCGCTGTAACGGGGCTGGTGGCGTGGCATGGCGGGCGTCTATACAGCAGACGTCGGACCCGTGCTGCTTTTTGGAACGCTGGGATTCTTTTGACTGGGGAGGGGGAGACTTTTGACAGCCATTAAACTTTAGGAACGATGGTCTGCATCCGGGTGAACATCCGGAGATCAAAATGCACATCCGAAGATCAAAATGCACATCCGAAGACAACCAAAAGATTTGTCCCCACCGAAATGGCCCTTTTAAATACTGTGCAGGGAGACACTCTCCTGGTGATTGAGCCCGTCTGTCACTACACGTCCTGGCCGTGCCACCAGTGTGGCATGAAAATTGAGAGCTCGCACCTGCTTTTTTTTTTTGCTAAAACGTGACCCTCACAGAGGCACTTTCAGAAACGTATTCAATTGGAGTAAAATAGGCATCATGGACATCCGAATGGGTACCCAAAACATGAAGCATTGAAACTTCCCGTTTCAGTTTTAAAGTGCCCTATCGTCTCGCTAAGCATTTCCATTGAAGGTGCCTAGCGAGACGAAAGCGAACTTCTGTGACGTTGGCGACGGTTCAAGTGAAGCTACCAGTGTTCAATATGATGCAAATAGGCGCTCCTGTCGCACAATTTGGCAGAAAAATACCATAATGCGACTCTTCAGCCCAATAAGGACGTTTCCCAAAGACAATGGGCAAACTGATGGTCATAGCGTTGGACCTTCACACGAGCTTGCAAGTGGTTCAATCACAGGCGAGCTGTTAAATCCACAGTAAATAGCGTTTATAGCCTACATACACTGTCTCGCCGGTGAGGGCGTATTTGTTAAAGAGATTGCATGAGTGTAAAATATGAAATGAGTACTTTGGACGTATTATGCACATTACGTAATCAATGCGGGCTCACTGTACTTGCAAATAATGATATGTGTACGTGTATCCTATCCGGTGTCGTGCACGGCAAAGCCTTCCAATTTCCGTATCGATATGTTCCACTTCATACTATTAATAAACAAGTAGTACAAAATATTTGTGAATTAGTTAAACTACCTATGGAGGGCGACCCGCCTGAGTACAGTACAGTACGCTGTACACGTTTTATTAAAAATCGTGCATTCGCAAGCTTCAGATTAACATTCGCCTGGTCTCTTCGCGGCTACAGCAGTTCCAACAGAATGGCAACCACCAGGTACCGACCTGCTTCTGTACAAAGGACGGTTCATCAAAACACAGAGATTCTGAAACGTATGTCGACGACGTGCCTCAGGCCAATGGGACTTGGTATTGAAGGTGAGGCGAGGAACTTGAGTAAGGAAGAAAAAAGAGATGTGATTGAATTTTATGAGTAGAGTTTCCTGGCACCATTGATTTATCTTTCCTGTAAAAGGTGATGTATCGACTTATGCAGGATTGGGTCCAGAACATATTTTGTATGGTAAGACATTTTGTACAATAACTTGTACGCTATGTCACCAATTAGGACACATCATTGACAGGGGACAGTTCTTATCCCAGATGGTGCAGCTGATTTGCATTCAAGACGTTGAGGACTTTGACTAAAATTACTACTTCGAGGATAATCGACTGTTTCTTGCGGTAGTGAGTTGCTAGAAAGCATGTCTATACCTTTCCGAAGGTCGCACAGTTCTTTACCGTCGTGCAGTTCAAGTATCAGTGAAATAAGCTTGCTTTGGTTTCCGAATCGTTCTCGTTGAGTGCATTAAATGTTCATTTTCTGATCATTCAACTTTTGCACAGGTGCAGTTTTCTTCTGATTTGCATGCAAGTATTGAAGGTGTTGATCAAGTGCAATCCTCAAGGGAGCGAGACTTAGTGCGATGCGCGCCTGACGCTATAGTCTGGGCTAGCTCTGAGTGAACTTGTTTCACTCGGTAGCGAATCGTCTCCACTGGTCTCAATAACCTTGGGTTTTGTCATATTGATTTACTGCAATCAATATTTTGCTGCTATGGTTCATGTGATTTGCACAGTACTAATATACTATCTTTTGTATACACAGATGCCTGTCAGTCTTCGCACATCAATTTTGTGCCAACATCAAGAGATGCTGTCGGACCGGTACTCAATGTGCGGTCTCTTATCGATCAGCAACGCTCTTCAAACAAAGGAATTTTATCACCCCAGCCATGTTGCGGCCTATTTTGGCTCGGTTGGTAGAGGTGAGCCCAAGTGTGGATCATGGACATCCACGCTACGGTGCCTACACTATGGATGCGTTGCAGAAGGGCTTGCAGAAGCGGCGGAAACAGCTGATTTACCTGAACACAAGGTCGGAGTTCAAGAGCAGACCCAAGCGACCTGCCTCCATCGTGCGGAGTCGAAAATCGGCTCTGCTGATTATAGGTAGGCGGCCTGGGCAACGAGCAGGTACATGGCATTGTATCGCTCGTGCCTGGGTTGGTAACAAGTTTGTGTTCATCGATTCCGACACCTATCACTTCTTCCCTAACCGGGAGGAGCTTTTGACAAGTTTCTTTGAGACAGTAGATGGTGTGTACTCAATTGAGGACATTCCTCGTGCTAATCTTTAAGATTTAAATAATACGTATTTACTTTTAACAAAACTTGTTGCTGTATAAATTTTACATATCGATTATTATTTTTCTTTTCCTTTTTTTTTTCTTTTTCTTATTTTTGTATGAGTGTCTTACATAGTGACCCTCTTAGATTTATAAAAAGAGGTTTTGATAGTGCTTTTGTAAAAATGTCTGCTACCATTTCTTTGGTGTTGCAGTACATAATTTCAAATTCTTTTCGCTCTACTTTTTCTTGTACAAAGTGATACCGAATGTCAATGTGCTTGCTTCTGCCATGCAGTTCTGGGTTGTAGGAAAGTTTAATACAACTTTGATTGTCCTCAAATAGGGTAATAGCATGTGAGCTTTCGTGTTTAAGCTCTACTAAAAGAAGCTTTAAGAAAATAACTTCTTGCATGCAGTGACATAGGGCTATGTATTCCGCCTCTGTTGTGGACAGAACTACGGTGTGGTGCTTTCTCGATTGCCATGAAATTGGGCTTCCACACATATATGCGATATAGCCTCCCACAGATCGTCGTGTGTCTGGGCAATTGGCATAGTCTGCGTCGGAGTATGCAGTGAGATAATGCTTTGACTTATACTGCTCTAGATTTTGCTTTCCACCAAGGGTGATGCCAAGATTGCGCGTACCGTTTAAGTACTTCAATCCTCTCTTAACGGCATTCCAGTGAGGTTTTCCTGGGTTCACCAGGAATTGACTGACTTC